CCTCTTTTCTTCTCCCCACCAACGATTGAGCAAGGACAAGAGAAGTGCGGGGTGTAGCCCTCTCACTTTAGCTTCTGCCCCTCCTAGAACAATAGGGCGCGCAGTCTATCTTATAAGTCTATGGGACCAACCGACATCCGTAAAAGTAAACTCCGCCTGAATCCCCACTTTTTCAATGGTGCAGACGAAAGTGCAAAATCCTAACCTTAAATAATCTTGATTTACGTTATGCGCATGCGCTAGTGTATACAGTGGGGAGTCACCATAGGAGAAGGGATTACTGTATGAAAGGTTAAGATGTGACTTTTACGGAAGTTAAGACACTAACGGGGGTCAACTTTTCGGAAGTTCGACTGTATGACGTTTATTAGTGAAACTAAGCCAGATAGAAATATGGAGAAAAGGACCTTTCCAGTTCCTCTCAATGAGCTGCATAAGAAACGGTAGGTCCAGAAATAAAAAATAATTTTTTTATCTATTTCAATTTTTGTCAAAAATCAAAAAATATATAAATAATAAAAAATGGATATGACTGACTTGACTTCAGGCGATTTTTTATATTTTTCGAATACTGCAATAAAAATTTTTCAAAAATTTCTCTCAGTCAAAAATCACAAATCTAAGAAATGACTATGAACGACTTGACCTCTGACGTTTTTTTTTGCAACATCATGTTAGGCAACGTCATGTTAGGCCCATACGGCCAATAAATTACCCCTAGTGTGACTTTAAGAATTCTAACAGCGTCAAAAATAATTTGTACCATTTGCGCTTTGGCACACGACAACATATTCATGCCGAGAGCTTGTGAAAAAAAGGCCGATTGGATTGATGTTTCGGAAGGCACCCTTACGGCCGATAAACTACCCCTAGTGCCACTTAAAAATTTCTAACAGCGCCAAAAATGATTTGTAACATTTGCGCTTTGGCACACGACAACATATTCATGCCGAGAGCTTGTGAAAAAAAGGCCGATTGGATTGATGTTTCGGAAGGCACCCTTACGGCCAATAAACTACCCCTAGTGCCACTTAAAAATTTCTAACAGCGCCAAAGATGATTTGTAACATTTGCGCTTTGGCACACGACTACATATTCATGCCGAGAGCTTGTGAAAAAAGAGCCGATTGGATTGATGTTTCGGAAGGCACCCTTACGGTCAATAAACAACCCCTAATGCCGATTAAAAATTTCTAACAGCGCCAAAAATGATTTGTAACATTTGCGCTTTGGCACACGACAACGTATTCATGCCGAGAGCTTGTCGGAAGAGCATAGGCCGATTGGATTGATGTTTCGGAAGGCACCTTTACGGCCGATAAACTACCCCTAGTACCACGTAAAAATTTCTAACAGCGCCAAAAATGATTTGTAACGTTTGCGCTTTGGCACACAACAACATATTCATGCCGAGAGCTTGTGAAAAAAAAGCCGATTGGATTGATGTTTCGGAAGGCACCCTTACGGTCAATAAACAACACCTAGTGCCGATTAAAAATTTCTAACAGCGCCAAAAATGATTTGTAACATTTGCGATTTGGCACACAGATCGGAAGAGCACACGTCTGAACTCCAGTCA